GCGGCGCTGGCCGAAACAGCCGTGCTGGCGACCGTGGAGCACCTCTGCCCAGGAATTTCCTAGCCTGTGGGCAATAAAAACACGGCGTCCACTCACCCTCTGCGCTTTCACTGGGAGCTGCAATCCTGAGCTGTTCCTAAACGGCCATCTTGGATCGTCCCCCCATCCTTTGAATTTTTAACTCTAATTACGGTTTTTCATTTCTATGAGTTCTCTTTGATTCTTCATAAAATGCCTTCTTTTGTTATATTTTCAATTTATTGTTATATAGTTTCATGATGTAAAAAACAGACTTTTTAGTTTTCATTTGATAATCCCCTTATTTGATATTCTTGGACAGTTGTTACAGCAGTTTCTTGTGTTTGCATAGTGGATTGCTTTCTCTCTCCTGTTTTATAATTTTCTACTTAGCTATTTTTAAGGAGATTGGCATTATTCCATCCTGAAAAATACTGTATGAGTGGTAAAGTGCCCCTCTAAATACCTTTCTTTTCTTCTGGTAGTAGTAGTAAGGATATCACCAAGTTAGGACCAGTTTTTTGTGTTAACTTTTTGGGACACAGTTTCATAAACCCTTCTGGTATTATGAACTTACACTCCAAGCTAATATGAGATATAGGCTCCACACTACTGAGTTTTTCACAGAAGCCTTTTAAAATTCCTATATTTAGAAATCTTGAAATAAAAGAAATTTTCTTGCTCATTGGTTAGAATTTTTCCCCAATATACCCTTTCACTGAGGAATGTAGCCCTTCTTATCCAGGCTTTTTATCCAGAACACTCACTCACTATTCCAATACCTAATGTAGGCCCAAAGCCCAATGTTTTGTCCCCAAACTAAACCCCAAACCCATAGATTACTGAGACTGATAACCTCCCATAACAGTGGTCGCTCGCAGGCCCATTGGCATTTACTTTAAGTCTTTGTTTTGACCTCTGAGAATTTTCCATTCTTTCTTACAAACTCAGCTATGTGTATAAAACAATTGTTATATTTTATCCATTATATTAGAATGTTTGAGGGTTTTTAAACTGTGTTGTTGAGAGTTGGGAGATAGTTGTCAGGTTGCCTTTGACTGCCATGTTGTTAGAACCAGAAGTACATACATTGTTTATATTTGGTTGCTGTTAGTAGAGGAATCCCTCATTGAAAACAAAATTTTATCCTTTCCACCATAAGAAACATCACAAAATATAATTTGTAAATATAGGGTCATATTAAACTGCTCTGCTTCTATAGGTAATTATTAATATTAGAATGAAAAGTTACCCCAGGAATAGATTTCTATACAGTGACCTTTAATGTGTCATTTATTTACTGGGATAAATCACAGATGTGAATGAATGTTTATCTTCATTAGGAATAATTAATGGCCTGGAAGTATTATGAGATATTCATATTCGTATTACATAAGGATAACTAGTTACAAGGCCAAAGTGCACTGCTTTTTAATCTTCCATAAATTTTGTGATGTTGCAACTGTTTACAGCCCTATATGGACTTCTTCAAGCAACAAGGAGGAAGGACAACCCTCAGTTCCAAGTGTACATAACTCTAATGGACAGATTTTTTAAGGCAAAAGAGATGGCAGCATATGTAAGAAGATATTTTTGGAAAAGATTGTCAAGTTGTAAACAACTTACAGATGCGGCAAATTTACTGATTCTTTATTATATTCTTTATTGCATTACATAGAATTTTTCTTACATAAGCTATTTACTTCCTTCTTAAAACTTCCTTATGCAATATATTTTTTTTAATCTCTGTGGATAGTATTTATTTTTCCAAGTAGCGAATCCTGATCCTTTCAGACCTCATTTCTCTCCCACCCTACTTACAGTCATGACTGAATCTTGCTGCTTTTATTGCAAATTCCAAGTAATGAGTGATTGCTCCAATGACTGCAATATATGCTGAGAATTGTAGAATTTATTGGACCTTTTTTTTTTTAGTTTACAAGACATATTTTCTTCTTTGGCAAAGTGAAAACAGACTAAAAATTTCCAGGAACCTTATAGTTCTCTAATCTATGAATCGTTGTAAATAAGTGAGAAAAAATTCTATTTGCCAGCTAAATTACAAATATTTCCATATGTTTATTTGTGTTTGGAAAAATTGCCTTTTAATTTTACTTTATTTTTCTTTGTTTCAATTCATCATGTTATTTCAGTGGCTATTTCTGTTAGTGTCATTCATTGATTTACTAAGTAGATGTTTACTGAGCATCTACTTTTTACCCAGCACTATGATAGTTTGGTGTTGTGATGCAAAGTTGAACATGATGCACAGTGATTGCTTTCATGGATCTTAGAGTCTAGTGGAGCCATACATTGAGATAACTTATGCAATAGGGAAATATACTATGGTATTACTGCATGGACACAAGCTAAAACACTGACCTCAAACTTGGAGGGATTGGAAAACTTCCTGGAACAAATGCCATTTAAGCAAAGACCCTGAAATGGGAGGTCAAGGGAGACTTGGGGAAAGGAGGCATGGAGGTAAGAGAGAATGTGATACCTCTGAGGAGCTGAGAGAGATACTGCTCCTAATATTCCTGCAACAGAACAGAGGGACACTAGCTCCAAAACAGAGGCTGGGTAAGGAGGGCAGTCTGATCCATGGTAAGGGTTTTCACTTTAGGGGTTTTAAGCAATATACCTTCATTTTCCTTTCCCATTTTAGAGGGAACTTGCAGGTGCAGTGTGGAGAATAAATTGGAGGGGGAAAGTCAGGATTTTATAGTATAATACTGGTACAGTAGTTCAATATAATCCATCAGCAGTGAGGGTGTAGGAGAGCAGACAGATTTGAAAGATATTAGAGAGGTAGAGGTAGAAACCCTATGGTTAACTAGATGTGGATTATGGTGGAGGAAGAAGAGTCAAGAATATCTGTGTTTGCAATTCTGATGACTGGGTAGGTGGTGATGTTATTTGCTGAACTAAGGAACAGAAGAAGGAGTGAGCTTGGGAAGGAAAATGTTGAATTCAGTTTGGGTGTGTGTGGCACATTCATGTGTTCATTGGACAGTTGGATAAAGAGTTCAGGAGAAAGATTAAACCTAAAGTTACAGATTTGGGCTTCTGTAGACTACAAATGATCATTGAGGTCATGAGGTAGAAGAACTTGCTCAGGAAGATTAAGTGGAACAAGAATAGAACAAGGCTTAGAACAGAACTTTAAAGAAGACCAGCAGTTAAGGGATGCATAAAAGAGGAGATAAGAATATGCTCAGAGAAGACAAGCAAAGGACAAAGTAATGATCAGTTAGGTGCTGGTCAGATGTCAGGAAGCATTGAGGTGCTGATTGAATTTAGCAACTGTGAGGTAGATCATGATCTGGTTGAGAATGGTTTCAGTGAAATTGTGAATATGTAAGTAAGCACTGTACAGTTTCTTTGGTGAATGAGTGAAGATGAAGTAGTAGAGACAGTAGCACAGACAATTCTTCATGAAAAGGAGCAGAGATAGGTCAGCTGAAAATCAGACTGAGGTAGAGGGTTTTTTTTTGTTGCTCTTATTGTCATTTGCTTGCTCTTTACGTTTATCTTTTCAGCGTTTGCTTTTAAATGCTATGGGAAGGGGAAGGGCAGATGATGACAATTAAGGCAAGAGAAGGAATAAGCAATAGAGTAAGATCCTTGAGCTTGGGTCGACAGCAGGATAGGTAAGTGGCAGGAACACAACGTATGAACTGGAAAGGTGGACCATGATCAGAATCTAAATGTCTAATATCTTGACTTATTTATGTGTTTATTTTTTAAGAGACAGGATCTCACTATGTTACTCAGGCTGGTCTCAAACTCCCGACTTCAAGTGATTCTCCCTGCTTGGCCTTCCCAAGTGTTGGGATTACAGATATGAACCACCCTGCCCAGTCTTGATTTATATTCAAAAATAGAACAGCTCTGAATGATGGCAGGTCAAGGCATGAGAGTGTGTGGTGTAGTAGAAGTGAAGGTCAGGGGAGAAGAGATGAAAACCTTGATTGGTCAAAGTGTTGGATAGGTCTTACAAGTGAAGCTACCCACATTGATAAGGGGTTGTAAGGATGGGTAAGAGAGAGAATGTCCGGGAAGTGACTAGTGAAGTAGAGGTGGAAGATTCAGTCATGTCCCTTAATCATGTTCGCTTCAGCAGGAATGCATTTGTATGAAAGGATGTGGAAGTAAGGGTGTGCAGACAGAACTGGGGAGTGAAGCCACCTGCCTTCTGTCCTGATGCTATAGCATCTGAACCATGCAGGAGCGAACGCTTCAGCTTGAGAAGGTTGTTATTGGGTGAGCTATGTTCATTCATTTAATAGTAAGAAATGGAATGCCCATTTAGTGAGGACATTGAGGTTATAGGGGAAGTTTGTTCGCCAACCTGCATGAGTCTTGACTGAGACTGGTAGCAGACACAGTAGGATCTAAGACTTCTATTTAGTTCCACAGTAGTTGGTGTTCAGGAAACAAGTTTTGGTCTCAGCTCTGCCTAAACAGCTGTGAGACTCTGCATAGAATACTTAAGTGATTTCTTCTATTTAAAACTGATTGACATTCAAATAACTTGTGATATTTCAAGAGATATCCATTGATAATAGTCTGGCCTACTTTATTCTGATAGTTGTCCTGTCTTTATGTTAATGTTACAAAAAAATTTGTGATACAATACAGGTTTCTTCTAAGTATGCTGTATTGATTTTTAAATTTAAAGATTTGTTGTCTTGGGTAAATTTTTTAAGCCTTTTTGGTTAAAACATTTAGATTTTCTGTTAAAGCCTGGTGTTTATGTTCACTTCTGTTTGTTTTTTAAACCTTTTATCTTTTTTGTTTCTATTTCTTAACTCTCCCAGTGTATGTGGTAGAGAATGGTAATAACTGTAGAGTAACTTCAATAAAGAGAGATGAAATAGTGACATTAGTGATACCAGTTCTCTTGTGTCTATGTATTTGTGGTGACTGTAAAGGGAACCCTGGATTCATGAGCATCTTTCTGTCTTGATGTTTTTCAGGGACCATGGCTAAACCTCCTGGATCATTAGCCAGAAGCAGCAGCCTGTGCCGCTCGCGCCGCAGCATCGTGCCGTCCTCGCCTCAGCCTCAGCGAGCTCAGCTCCCTCCGCACGCCCCCCACCCGTCACAGTCTCGGCACCCTCACCACCCCCAGCACACACCGCACTCCTTGGCTTCCCCTGATCCAGATATCCTCTCAGTGTCAAGCTGCCCTGCGCTTTATCGAAATGAAGAGGAGGAGGAGGCTATTTACTTCTCCGCTGAAAAGCAATGGTATTGGCAGTGAAAAATCTACAGGGCATGTTGGGGCTGGGTTGGGGGTGAGCCGTGAGGAGGGGGATGGGAGGAGTGGTGCATTGTTTCCGTTTTCTGTTGCTACATATCAAATTACCACAGACTTTGCAGCCGCAGACATCACCCATTTTTTAGCTGTTAGTTCTGTACATCAGAATTCCAAGCCTGGCGTGGCTAGGTTTTTTGCTCAGGGCCTTTCAAGGCTAAAATCAAGGTGTTGGCCGTGCTACATTCTCATCTGGAGCTTGCAGTTCTTCAAAGCTCATGTGGTTGTGGTGAACTTCATTTCCTTGACTCCAGAACTGAGGTCCCCTGACTGTGCTTGCTGTCAGCTAGCTGCACGGCAGCTGCTCTCAGTTCCTGGAGGCTGTCCACTGTTCCTTGCCACAGGACGTCCATCTTCAAAGCTAGCAACACAGAATTCCCCTGCTGTAGATTCCTCCTTTGCTTTGAGTCTCTGACTTCCGTCTCTCTGATCTCTAGACTAAAATTTTAAAGGCTTACCTGGATAATAATCTCACTATATTAAGATCACCTAGTTTGGGGCCTTAATTTTATCTGCAGAATCCGTCTTACAGCAGCATCTGTATTTATGTTTGACTGGATAACTGGAACAAGCTGTGTGTACGCCAAGGGGTGGAAATTTAGGAGCCATCTTTGGATTCTGTCTACCACAGACATGTTGGTAGATATTTTGAGATGTAATGGCTTAGAGGTCACTGGACACAGTTGACTCAGATGTCAGAGCATAAACTTGTTATGAACAATTTTATATGTAAAATAGAAAAGTATGAGCTTAAATATACTTGAACACAAAGAAATGTCAAATATGACTGACCTAAAGATATCTGTTGCCACTTAATGATTTATTCTGTTATGTGCCAGTACTTGCAAACACACAAGCAGTATCATGTGCCAAAGTTTTAAGAAAATGTCAAGAACTTAAAAGGATAAAATTATATTAATAACTTACTTTTTTTTTTAAACAGAATGGGCTTACAGCAGTGTATTCCAGTTCAACTTAATGACATCCATGCTCCATGAAACCTGTTACTTTGAGGAGCTGTTCTTAAACCACATTCCCCTTTAAAAGCAGTATGGTATTGAGTGTTAGTTTCAGGTATTGCCACGTAGTAGCCATGTGGCCCTAAAGGCTTTACCGTCTTCTATGAGAAGCAAAGAGAGTGGTCCACGCTCTATCATGTGTCTCATTAGGTGACATTATTATCAAATAATCATTTTTCATTCATAATTATTTAGTAGTAAAAGAAAATGTTATGATTTGCAAGTGATCAGTGTGGCATATTCCTAAGGAGATAATGCAGGTTTTGTATCCCCATTGCAGTTGGAGAATCTGATGCAGCTTTGCTTGGTTAGCACTTTATGATTAGCTTTTTGTCTGTCTTTGCAGTATGATCATAGTCACCAGCAAGATGGCTTTACTGACAGTACTGGTCTTGTGTGGTTTCTGGAAATGAGAAGAAAAACTTGAGAGCTTCACTATCTAATAAAACTTTTTGCATTGATGGAACATTCAGTTCTCATTTCAATAGCAAGCTCTCATAAATAAGAGAAGAATTTCAATTTGGAAACTTTTCTTCCTCTTCATTTTCAGTCTCCCGTCTATTGAACCACCAGAATCCTTACAAAATAACAATATTGAATATTTACTGATTTTTTAATGTTCTGTGCCTTTTGCACATATATGCTTATTTAAACCTCACTTTGAGTTTTCTTATACAAGTATGAATTCGACTCCATGTCACTCTGGGGAAAAAAAGAAATAGAAAATACAGCATAAGTGGCACACATAATTTAAGTTCAACTCTGCAAGACAATAAAATTTGAAGTTGTATTATAATTATCCAAGTCAGATTGCTTATGCAGAATAGGCAGTGCTTTAGGTTATTGTCATTACGGAATTCAAATGTTAGAACTAGAAGGTAACATTAATGATTAATCAAATTTTCTTACTTTAACAGATAGGAAAATTGAGACCTCAAGAGATCAAATGGTTTGCTGAGGCTTGTACAACTGATTAATGGTAGGACCAGCTTAGGAACCCAAGTCTTCTGACTTAAATCAGTATGCTTTTCACACATTGTTTAGAGTTTAGAGGCTAGTTTTTAAAATATTTTTAGCCTAGCTTAGAATTTCACACAAAAAAGCAGCCAAGCCACATCACAGAAAAGAAAATAAATTCACAAAATTATAACAACTAAATCAGCTTTTGACTTTGGAAGCTGAATAGCTTCAGGAACAGTGATAATATATTCTGTTCAATTAATGGACAGCCATTCAAAAAAAAAAAGCTTTGCAGAAATGCCTCTGCCAGTGATTGATTTCTGAGTCTAATTATTTCCTCATATCTGAACTGCTTCTTGCTTTCCATTAGCACTACCCAATATCAAATTGTAAAAACATTTGAGAATTATGCAGCACACGCAGGTGTGTGTTATGAAACCATTAGTTAGGTCTTTATTTAGGGGAATTTGTACCTTTGGGGAGCTTATAGTGTAGTAAAGATAATCTTCATATAGATGTGTGAGTACAGTACATAGAATTGACTAAATTCAGCAATCTTTATCTAAAATATGGTATTAACATAGAATATTCATCAAAAGCAAATGCCAGACCTCCTGTAAATGTGTATGTCAATAACATGAAATAGGCCATCTAAGGTAAGAAATCATTTAGTTTATTCATTCTGTAAATACAAATTTAGTCCTTGCTATGAGAGGTGCATTTGCCAATAACATGAGCTGCCAATACAAGTGAGACAGGGACCTGGCCTCGCTCCAGCTGCTGGTTGATAATCATATGTGTTCTTGCCTTTCTCTTCTGCCTTCAGCTCTGTTCCTTCTCACACTGTATTTCTTTTGCCACTTTTTACCTTGACTCTTCCTTTCACTTCTTAATCATTTCCTTTCATGGAGTGAACAGTATTCACCTCAGGCTCAGTGCATAAAGTGAATGAGACTAAGTGGTGAAGCTCTCAAAAAAAAAAAAAAAGTGAATAAGATGTGATTCCTGTTCTTTAAGATCTCATTCTGTTCATTCATTCATTCACTCGCTTCCATTCATTTGTCCAACACATTTTTATGAAGTACCCAACGTGAGTTTGCCGCTATTCTAGTGCAGAGAATGCAGAAGTTGATGAGGCTCCTTGTCCTTAATAATTGCTTTTCTTCTGGGAATACTACCTATAAACAAGTTAATATAAAATATCATTATAGGTTTTGGTAAGTTTTGGGGTGGCAAACAAAGACAGTTGTAAAAGGAAAGAGAATGCTGTTTTACAGGTGGCTAGGGGAGATAAGGTGGCTAGGAGAGGCAGCAGTGGCTAGGGGAGAAGTAAGCCCTGTGGAGATGGAGACTAGAAAACAGCAAGCAGGGGGAACAGCAGGTGCAGGGCCCTGAGGGGCCTTGAGGTTGGCATGTTACAGGAACACGAGGGAGCGCTGTTGGACATAGCCAGGGACTGCATGTGCGTGGCCTGGTAAGCTTTGACAAGGACTTTGAATCTTACTCTGAGTTTGAGAGGAAGCACTGGGAAGTTTCAAGTAAGTAAGTGAATGATGTGTTTTGCCCAAGTTTTTAAAAATCACTAACGGCTGTGTAGAGAAGTAACTAGGAGGGAAGAACAAGAATGAAAGCAGGGAGACCAATTTGGAAGCCCTTGCAATACTTTAGGTGAGTTCCTAGTAGTTCCAGAGGAAGGATGGTAGCTGGGGGTGTAATAAGGAATGGTGGATTTGAGAGAGATTTGAAGGAATGGCTGATGGCATTTACTACATGCTGGTTGTGAGGTTATGAAATTTGTTTTTCCACTGTGGAGAAAGGGAGGAAAACGTTCAAAAGTGAGAATGCTGTGAGAATTTACTGAATGTCTGCTTTTTAAAAATAGCATCATCTGTTTTGCCCTTCCCCTCTGCTGCCATACTCTGATGTACCTCGATTCCCTGCCCCCCTTTTAAATTTGGTAGAACTTACATTTTAGTGTAATTCCTTGAATGTATATTTCTTCCTTTCTAACAAAGCTATAGTTCATCAAGTTAATGACAAAGGGAGAGGCAGTGACTAGAATTCATCTTTTAAAATAGTATCAACTCTGACTTGTAAAAATAGTATTGAAACAAAACATAAAAGTAGCTGAGATGATCGCTGAATTGCCTGTTAAATCTGAACATTTTAATTTATTTGACAAAAACAAGGTATAACTTGTCTGTGTGGTAAAATTTCATTATTATGGTTTGTGTTAAAAATCAAACATTGAGTTTTGAGAAGCTATATTATTTAAAGAAGTAATGTTCTAATTTTGTTGAAATGCATATAGAATTGTATCATTTCCCTCTTTTAAATTTCAGTGAGCAATGAAAGTTGTTTTAGTTAGAATGTCTGTTAGAAATCTTAAGATTAGACTGATTTAAAGTTTTTACCTTTGTTTGTGTTTCATTCAGGGAAGTGCCAGACACAGCTTCAGAATGTGACTCTTTAAATTCTTCCATTGGAAGGAAACAGTCTCCTCCTTTAAGCCTCGAGATATACCAAACATTATCTCCTCGAAAGATATCAAGAGATGAGGTGTCCCTAGAGGATTCCTCCCGAGGGGATTCGCCTGTAACTGTGGATGTGTCTTGGGGTTCTCCCGACTGTGTAGGTCTGACAGAAACTAAGAGTATGATCTTCAGTCCTGCAAGCCAAGTGTACAATGGCATTTTGGAGAAATCCTGTAGCATGAACCAGCTTTCAAGTGGCATCCCGGTGCCTAAACCTCGCCACACATCATGTTCTTCAGCTGGCAATGACAGTAAACCAGTTCAGGAAGCCCCAAGTGTTGCCAGAATAAGCAGCATCCCACATGACCTTTGCCATAATGGAGAGAAAAGCAAAAAACCATCAAAAATCAAAAGCCTTTTTAAGAAGAAATCTAAGTGAACTGGCTGACTTGATGGAATCCCTTTCAAGTGGCATCTGTAAACTTTTATCCCCCACCCTCCACTTTTTTTTTGGTTTCTGTTAATTTTAGGAATGTAACTCCATTGGGGCTTTCCAGGCCAGATGCCATAGTGGAACGTCCAGAAGGGCAACTGTCTACTGTCTGCTTATTTAAGTGACTATATATAATCAATTCATCAAGCCAGTTATTACTGAAAAACCATTGAAATGAGACAGTTTACAGTCATTTCTGCCTATTTATTTCTGCTTTGTTATTAGTGATGTATATACAACATTTTGTTGAAAGCCACTATGGACTTACAAGCTTTAATGGATTCGTAAGCCAGCATGGGCTTGCAAAAATTTCTTGTTTACCAGAGCATCTTCTTATCTTTCCACAGAGCTATTTACATCCTGGACTAAATAACTTAAAAGAAGTAAAACTAATTGCACTACTCTTTTCCAGACTGGAAGAAAAAAATCTCCGCAAGTGAAACTGTGTAGAGTTTATAAAATAACTATGGATAGGGTTTTCACTTTTAGATCAAAATGGGTTTTTAAGTAGAACCTAGGGTTTCTAATTGACTTGATTTCTGGAAATGAAAACCCACGCTTTTATTATGGGAAGCTTCTTTAACTGCATTTAATATTGTAAAGTTTCAAGTCCCGCTGTAAAGATCATGTTTTGTTTCCCCAGGGCTTTCACTGTGATTTACTGCATTGCAGGCTGTATGATAAAATATAAATAATTTAAAGAGAGAAGGTTCTTGATTCCTTATGCAAGTGGAAGAGTTGAAACTTGATTGAAGGACTTTAAAACATTCACAACCTTAAGCCGAGGTGGGGGGATATGGGGATTCAGGCAATTGTTTACAAACTTTGAATAACTGCAAAGGATTTATGGTTTGTGAAAAATTTGTACTGTGGAAAAGATAATAAATTGGAGACATTATTGTGTGGGACTGTGCTGATTTTTGTTGATAACACTCCACAAAAAAACACTATATGTTTTCTGGAGAGCTGTGTAAGCTGTCGTCTTGCTTAATTGCAATATAAGACATAGTGATGTTTTGGATGTAAGTTGTCAACAGATTTCTATTTTATATTGTTTGTCATATTTTTATGTAGTTTGAAATGTATAAATGTTCTAACATCAAGATTAACAAATACAAATTTATGGTGTATTTAGATTGTGTTGTATTAATTTGTAAGTATGATGTTCTTTAAATAGGTGGGTTGTAAAAGGGTAGCTTTTACTGTTAAAAAAAAAACACAGTAGAGAGTTAAGTTTCATATAGCAACAAAATACGTTAACATCTAGGGAGTTTCTACTTACACCACTTAAAAAATATGCAATCATAAATGATCTGGTTACCACAGTGCAGATAGATGTTTGGGTGAACAGCTGATACATATTAGTTAGAATGCTTTTTCAGCATTATGGCTAAAATATATATCTAACCCAGTGCTGTTTAGGTGAAAATGCTAATTGATAAGAAGTTTCTTTTGAGATTTGCTTTAAAGAAATGCTTTAGTAAGAACATGAACAATTTCCTGATGTCTCCTGTAAATTGTGATTGTTTATTCTCTATTACTATTGTTAAAAACTTGAATGATATTTATATTGGCTGATTTTTATATACTTACTAGATTGAGTTCCATAAGGGCAAACATTGATTGAAATGAACATAGTGTTTTGCACTAATGATAAGGTAAGATAACCTGAGAGGTAGGGTTTAGGAGCACAGGGTTGAAGGCTGTTGAAGAAGGGGAAAAGTTGTGCATGAAGAACAGAAATGGGTTCCAGAGTGTTCATTCAGAGTGAAGGGAAAACCTTATCCTCCTTTTTCTTATAACCAGACAGGAGGAGTTCTTCCCTTTGAAAATTGCAAAAAAAGTATGAGAACTTTGCAGTTGGAGGAATAGAAAAGGGAAAAGTTGCTGGAGCACGGACTAAAGATGGGAGGAGCTGCCAGCAAAGCCCACTGCTGCTCCTGGGGTAGAGGGAGGTCTGCAGCAGAACCAGCTGGGGGCCAGCACTGCTGCTTAGAGCAGAGGAGGCTGGCCAAAGGGACTGTGGGCGCATGCATGGTTTGTGCTCAATTTCAGACACTCATTTATAAACAGATTTAACCAAGGGATACTTACTGCTTTATGTTGCTTGCGATAATTATTTTGCATTACTACAGTATACACATTTGTAAATTCAACAGGAAATAACTGAGTTTTGGAAAGCTACAGTAATTTCTGTATTATATCATTTATATGTGAAAAGTTGGGCATTTCTATAAGTTTTTTAAATTACCCTTTTGTTATTTTGTCATTTTAAAATTATGGTGTTTTCCTGACATTAAAAGTAATATTTTCCTTACTGTAAAAAAAAAAAAAAAATCGATGATAGAAAAGTATAAAGTAGAAAATAACAAGCAGGTCAAATACTGCTGCCCCAAATAATCACTTTTAATATTTTAGTATGCTTTCTGCTAGATCTTTTTCTATATATTGATGTATATTTTACATAATTGAAATCATGCTATATATTCAATTTTATATCATGCTTTTTCACTTAATATAAGCATTATCCCAACATCATTAAAAACTTCATGAACAACATTTTAATGACTGTATAATAATATGCTATTGTGTGGATTTACCATAATCTTTTTAAGTATTCTGTCATTAAACATTTGGCTGTTTCTAAATTTCTGATATGTGGAGTAAGAGCATTTCACATTTATTGAGCACTCTATATGCCAGGCACTGTTCTACACTCTATATTCTCATTTAATCTTTACACCAACTCTAGCGGGTAGGTACTTTTATTACTATTACCATTTTACTGATGAAACTTAAGCCCAAAAAGTCAACTTGCTAATGGTTATATAGCTAGTTAGTGATAGAGCCATATTCTTAATTTCTAAGTCATACTGCATAAATTCTAATCAACACTTTGATTTCCCAGGGCATACAGTTTTAGAAGTTTACAGAAAAATATAAGGATTTTTAGTTAAAATGTTAATGTATATTTACATATGTATGTATATATATGTCTCACATGCCTTGGACATAACTTTTTAAGGTTTCTTATTCATATAACTGTGTTGATAACCACCCTCTATCCTATGTTTCAATGTATATGAGAGCCCTTTGACTTCACATTACCCTTTCGATTACCATTTGGTTAAAACTTTGTTAATTTAATAGGTAAATAATATCTAGTAAGGTTGGAAAGTTCTTTTACGTTTTCTGAGCCTTATGTATTTTTAATTTTTTTATTTTATTATTGTTATTATTATTTTTTGAGACGGAGTTTCTCTCTTGTTTCCCAGGCTGGAGTGCAATGGCGTGATCTCGGCTCACCACAACCTCCGCCTCCTGGGTTCAGGCAATTCTCCTGCCTCAGCCTCCTAAGTAGCTGGGATTATAGGCATGCGCCACCATGCCCAGCTAATTTTTTGTACTTTTAGTAGAGATGGGGTTTCACCATGTTGACCAGGATGGTCTCGATCTCTTGACCTTGTGATCCACCCGCCTCAGCCTCCCAAAGTGCTGGGATTACAGGCGTGAGCCACCGCGCCCGGCCCGTATTTTTTATTTTAGTAAATTAATTATTTTCCCCCCCATTAAGTTATTGGGGTTCTACTGTTACTCTAAGTCTTTTGCACAGTTAACTAGTCTTTCAAATGTAGCTATTCTTGTGTTCTTCATTTACTAACCATTGATTTCAGAAAATGATACATTTTTCATACTGATTTTAAAAGTAAATGGAAAAAGCTAGATTTAAGTTTTAGTCTTATTGATCTCCTGATTTGCAGTCTTGAATGTGAGAGTTTCACCTCGTTTATATGGTCAAGGTGGATTTTCCCAAAAAATTAGACAAGGGACAATATAGGATCTGCTTAACTCATTCAGCAAATTGTTTAGTGGCCTGTCACATACTAAGCCTCGTGATAAACTGAAGGTATAACGACTCAGGTGACAGGTGCCTGCTTTAAATGAACTTGGTATCTAATAGAGGAAACAGATCAGTCAAGAGTCCTTGTCATGAACGGAGTGATAGAAATGAAAAGTGAATGTTGTGAATGATGGGCAGGTGGGGCGGGGAGAGGGATTGTATAGTTCAGAAATAAATGTATTGAATCAAGGATAATTTAACGGCATTGTTTTGTCAAGGACATGGAGAGACTGGCTGTGACAGAAACATATAGGACCAAGGGCAAGTTAGTTTTAGGGTTTCTACTCACTAGTGGTCTGGTTCCAGCAAATGAGCTTGCAGTTACTGAGCTCCAGGGAAACACCTGCTACTAACTGTGAGGGTGCTTATTTGGAGCAAAGCGTTTGCCAGAAAGACTGCGTTTGAGCAATATCATATAAGCCCAGATAGTACTGATTAAAGACAGTTTTCTCCCCATGTCCCCAGCTCTCAAACAGGGTAGGCTTTGTTAAAGACTACCCTTCAGATTTATCAGGGTAGGCCTGATGCTATCTTCAATCAGCTGATGTCAAGTGAGCATCGGGCCAAGTTTTAGGATTTGACCCCCGTCCCATGACTGGGCTTTTCTGGGTACCTACAGAGCCTCTGAAGTGGCTTTCAAAGGGTCCTGTCTAGAACAGTGTTTCTTACAGGCCCAGATAGGAGATGGTGAAGCCTCAGTTCACATCTTGATTTCCAGTTAGTTAGTGTGATGCAAGTGAGACAAATGCCTCGCGTTCTCTCATGAGTTGCAGTGTTGATGGCCAGAGTCTCCAGCATCCAGGTGATCCGGTTTTTACTGGATATGTTGCAGTATCTTCATCAGCCTCCAAAAGTGAGGGAGAGCAGTGAGCTGAAGGCAAGGGGGCAGTTCACTTCCGCCTGGTGAGAGCTGCTCAGCCCCAGGAGGTCACAGTGGCTCAGCCATTCTCAGTCGCCAGTCCTTGAAGCAATGGCCAAGCTTCCGCTTCCCACATTGTGCTGTTTTGCCCTGCCAGGTTCTAGTTCCCTATAAAAGTAGGACTCTAAGAAATCTTATGCGGGTCAAAATAGTTCATCTCTTGCTTCAGATTTACTCCATTTGATTTGGTTCTATCATTAGCAGCCATCCAGTGTTGCAATTCTTATTCTCAAGAACATCCTCTGTGTACTCTGTAAGCACCGCCTCTTTAATGGAAGCATCTTAGCTCTAAAATAGCTACATAAGCTAATTTTCCCATGTATGAAAATGTCAACTGATGAAATACTTTTACAGACCTCTGGCTTCTAGGGTGTGGTGGCGTCAGATTTTAAGGAAATTTAAGGTCACTAGCTCTAAGGTACTGGAAAATGTTTCGAAAATAAGAAATGTGGCTTTGTTGTTTGATTATTCTCCACGAAAAAGCTTTCTGTTATCATTCAAGATGTGTATCTGCAGCAAAAAGTACAATGACAAGAAATTAAAAGGGGTGTTGTGTGTGGGGGGGGAAGGGTGTAAAAGGAAGCCTGGGTGCAATAATGAACTGCTATACTAGAGGTTGCCTTTGACTTAAAGGTAAGAAACGAACTGTAAAAAGGCCTGGGCATGAGATCTTGGGAAGGGAGGGAAGGAGAGAGGAGGGGAAGTGTGCATTTGTTGTCAGCTCACCAAATCTTGTCAATTTCCTTCCCGAATATCTCAGGGAATGCCCCACTTCTTTACCGCCCTGGGGCTTTGCGTCTCCATTTCTCATATTACTCACTTCAAAAAGCTAACTGAACCCAGCCTCACCACCTGCTTCATCCTTTCATTTGTGAGCTAAGTTGCACAGTGGATTTTCTCTGAATAAAATTTTTCTATGTTTTTTGTTGCCTGTGGGATAAAATACAAACTTAACTACGACTAGCAAAGATCCTTGATGTTCTGTGCCCTGCTTACTCCTCTGGCCTCGTGGCTTTTGTGGACATAGCCTCATCAGTCACATAGAACTTCATGCCATTTCTGGAGTAAGGCAGGCTGCTGCTTTTGCCTGGAATGTCCTCTTCTTTCTTAGACAACTAATGCTAAACCTTTAACTCAGATATCTCTAGGAAGCCTTCCATACCTGCCCCCAACCTGGGTGAGATACCACTTCTGTGAATGTGCAGAATTTCCTTTTCCTTTCCTTTCCCTTTCCATTTCCCTTTTTTTCTTTTTTTCTGAGACAGGGTCTCACTCTCACCTAGGCTGGAGTGCAATGGCACAATCATGATACAC